ACAGGACAGGTGGGCTTTTCTGCCAAAAATCAACTCAAAGTGTTATACATCCTATACCCGCGTGCATTGCAATGTTATATCTAAACTAGATTCATTATCTCGTCCCATTCTCTACCTCTGTCCTTAGTACAAGTCCTTATTAAATCTCCTATTAAGGCGTGTACGCGTTCCAAGGAGCCATTGCTCTGTGGGTGGAAGCTAGTGGTTTTAATATGCTTAATCCAAAAGGCTTTTTCAAATTCCATCATCAATTTTGACACAGAATCCGCGCCCTGATCTGTTAGTATCATTTTGGGAAATACGTAAATATAATAATCCATCAATTTCTCTATTGTAGTTTGAGTTTGTTGTTTGGGAAGAGGTACAAGGATAAGATATTTGGTTAAAATATCTTGTATTGATAATACATATTGATTACCTTTGCTTGTCAGTTGTAATGGTCGGTATATGTCCATAGTTAATTTGTTGTTTGGGATTTTAGTTATACCAGGGATGGAAGCTGTTTCTCTCTGGGTCTAATTTTCGTCAACTTTTCACGTTGGTAAGTCTTGCATATACTTATCACATCTCTTATCTCCTTATATGATTATATTGTACTACGCACCGCGGGGATCACAAAGAACACCTTTCGCTTCTACACAAATATCATCTAATTTTATATATTGTCCCTGAAATATTACTCTCCGCCAACACTGATAGCTGCATACATATAACGCATCAAAATTTTCGATATCCAATCTGTCAGTCTATCATATCGAACTGATGGACTTATATTATTCTACGCATCGCGGGTATGACAATGAACAGTATTCGACTCTACATTATGTCATCTAATTTTATTTATCGACCTCAATTATTACGGTCTTCCGGCACTGATAGATGTATACATATCACGAATTAATGTTTTCGACATTAAATCTGTCAGTATACCATAAAGATTTGATGGAATTATAATATTCCACGCATCGCGAAGATTACAATGAACAGCATTCCCTTCTACAAAAATATTCCCTAATTTCATTTATCGAACAAGTATAATTACGGTCCTTCGTAACTGAATGGTGCTTCAGAATGACGAATAAAAATTTTCGACACTTATTCCGTCAACATATCGTACCGATCTGATGGTCATATTGTTCTACGTTTTTCAGGGATCATAAAGAACAAATTTTTCAATAAAAAGCAACGATTTAGTCCCATTTATATTCCACGAAATTATACTCTCTTCCGGTACGTATTGGGGTTTACACAAGACAATTCAATGTATTTTACGTTCATTCTATCAATATATTATCTAGACCTGATAGTGTTATATTATTCTGCGCATCACATGGAACACAACGAACACAATTTATTAATATATAACGACGATGCAATATTATAGTGCCCGAAAATATACGCTACTCCAGTACTGAGCGGGACATACATTTTATCATATAAAATATTATACATTAACTCTCTCAATAGATTATATACATCTGGATAATGGATAATGAGATAATGGATAATGAAAAAGAAACACAGTAAATCAAAGTTTTCCTATATTATACATCTATATTCTGTACAAACTAATTACAATATATAACATGTAAAGAGATATAATATAATATAATACAATATAATATATATATAATTACTACAAGATGTGTTGTAATTATTTTGTACTTTGTATATACATATATCAGTCAATAAATTTGAATACAAAACACTCTGGATAATAAAATACAACAATGCTTGTATTATTGTATTATAATTGTAATGTTGTATATTTGTAATATTGTATTATAAAATTGTATTGTAAATACGACGATTTTTGTATTTATATATAACATATATGATACAAGTATCAGTATTAGATATACAAATCATAATACTCGATTCAGAGTGTTGCACATATTTACACAAATACTAAAAGGTAGATAATGAATGATTGCAACACGTTTCACGAGAAAAATCAAGAAACGTTTTTTCAAAAGCGGTTGCCATTGAAATCCTTAAAATAGAATGGCAACTTCACAGAGATTCTGGCTGTGTCAATTTTCCCTGATCAAAACATCTTAACCAGTATCGTCGTCTCCTTAATTTTAGAATCGTGTTGCTATTATCATTACACTCCTTTTACATGTGTAGAAACATTCATCCATTCCCTTCACTCATCCCTTCTGACAGACATCGTTGGAAAGAGATACAGCCAAGTGACCGAGAGAACAAAAAGAGAAAGAATTGTTTCCACGGATGTACTCGAACATGAATTCGACAGCATGGAGGCTGTCGAATTCGAGGCCTTAACTTTTTGCAAAATCATCCCGAATAACTTTGAGGTGTTTGTTTCTAAAATACGTGCGTTCGTCTACATGTCAACAAGTTTGCCCTACGTATTTATGCAACTCCGATATGTTCGCGAATACACCTTTTTCTTCTCTCGGTCTTTCTCTTTATTACTATTTTGTCGTGTTCGCGATTCTATGTCGGTTGTATCACCGATTTACCACGCATGTATTTGTTGCAAGACGATCTTCGAAAATCGGACGATTAAAATCCGTGATACGAGGTCGATCCTCGGTGTGCCGAGACACACCAAGCTTCGACGAAACGGAAAGCAAAGAAAAAAATTCTAGTTACTGTT